TAAAGATATTTAATAATGGTTTTTTGTTCCCTTTACCAAGATTAAGAAAAGTAGCTACTTAAATACTTTTAATTACAAAAGGTTCTTAATATCATATTTGAGTATTAATGTTCTAGTAATTAGAATATAGGGTTCTAAGCCTTTGTTGACTAAGCCTTTCTGTTCAGATAAGGCTTCTTTGTGCTCTTTTTGTATATTAATGCATCAGTGGTATGATTCTCGCTTTGGGTGCGAGAGGCCCCGGGTTCAATCCCCGGTCAAGCCCAAATTTTGCGGTTTAAATTATTGTAATTACAGCTAGTAGTTTTATGCTTTTAGTGTCGTTTTATATAAATTGTATGTTATAGAGAAAATATAATAAATATAAAAATCTTATTAGGTAAAAAAAACAAATGGTTAAAATTTGTTAAACTAAAATTTTTTTTTATAAATATTAGGTCTGTTTAACTGTTAGTCTTATCATCTTTAGCATAGATACTTTGCCGACTCTAAATAATATAGCTAAATAGACCGATATGCATGAGATGTAAATTTATAGGCATTAGCCCATTAACTACTAACAATTTTCAAATCAAAATAAAATCGTTAGTATTGTCGAAAAATATACATATAATGGAATTATTTTTAATAATCAATGGAAATGCAACGAAACAATTTAAAATAATTAAACTGAAATGCATATTTTGCAGCAAACTATTTTTTAAGAAACAAAAGTATATCAACAGCAATTAAATTTAAAGTACTACTATTAGCGCTAATTATAATCGGTACGTATGGCTGTGAGCTATTTGGAATGAGTGAGCAAAGAAATAGCTTAATTAAAAAAGTATCAGACCAAGTATTAAGACTAATACCTGGAGTCAATAAAAATACTGTACTTAATAGACCAAGGGCTGAATGTGGTATAAACACCATCAATAGCAAAACAGCATGCTTACGAGAACGTGCTTATATCAAATTTCCTATATTACGTACGTGGATAGCCGATTTAACTAAAAATCCAATAAAAGCCGGTGCTAGTATATTGGTATCAGAAAAAACTAGATGACCTAATAAATATACAAAAAAAATCAAATCTTAACTTTAAAAGATAAAATTACAGACAGATACAACACAAATGTTAAATCAAGAATTTATATTTTTATTAAAATTCATAAATAGAAAACACGAGTAATTAAATAAATTTACAATTACTCTATCCTAAAATAAAATCAGGAATATAATATATAGGCAAAATACAAACTGTATCGTATTGGACATGTAAAAAGATAGTTAAATTAAAATATATACAAAGCATATATGCCAATAAGTCCCATCTTGTCACTCTAATGCTTTAGAAAATATTGAGCATATTCTTTTGGACTGCAGCAAATAGTCAGTAAAAAGAAAGAATATAATAGGTCAGTTTTTACCCCGCCTACATAAACTGGCAACCCTAATTAATAATGAACCGCTCAAAGAAGCTCAGATTGGACTCGTGAGCAAACCCTTTGAAGGGGAGTATAAATTATTTTTAAACCAACTCAAATTGAGTAAGATCATCAATATACTATTATTAATAAAGCTAAAAACAGCAAAGTTTATAAATGGTATACATGTTGCTCGAGCACTTATTGTTGATAACATAAAGTTCTCACCAACCTCCTTGAACCAATGCCCGATGGGTATGGAGGCTTTAGTGAGCCAAAGTGGGGTTAGATAGCTTAGATATAAAAAAATTATTTTTGTAATAAATGTATCTTACGAAAAAAAAAAAGCATAGATACTTTAGCAGCAATAAAAAATTCCTAATCTTATAAAAAATTATTCTTTACTTATATTTTAAAAATTAAAACTATAAACAAGTAACTTATCTAAACTATTATCAAAAGCAGAAGTCAAGACTAAGAGGGAGAATAATCTAATCGGTTATTTATGTTTATTGTTCACATTAATCGGCTTAGCCTTTCATAATATGGCTAATTAATAACTATTTATATAATATTCTAGAATCAAAATAATAGTATATAACTATGTGAATATTATTTTATAAATAATAAAGTTTAAGACTGGATCCAATAGAAACATGACAATAGCAATCAATTCCATGTCTATGGTCTTGAAGACACTCTCAAATAAATCAGGGCTTAAGAAGCAATGTCAGATGAATAGTAAGAATATACAAGACAACATTGAAAACTTAGTTATTTTTATTGAGAAAAAAAATTAATGTTGATTGTATTATTACCGGATTGTTAAATACTAAAACAACTCATGGAGTTAAAAAGCAAGATCTTGACAAAAACAAAATTATGGGATTGTATAGTCAATGTAGCAAGTTTGGCTACACAGACTTAGTTATATGAAAAGGCAAAGTATGGCACCTGAATTCCCAATCATTTATATAAGAGGCACTGGAGCTCAAATATTTTACAGATAAAAGCAATACAGCCCGAATAATAATAGTAGGAAAAAAAATAACTACTTTGGGTTAAAAAATTAAATTCATAACAATGCATATCAACTACACGAAAATAACAAAAATAATATACTCATTGAAGTCACCTCAAATAACAAAAAAATTGGCTCTGATATACTCATACAATACCTCAAACTTGGAATTTGTAAAAAATTATAGTGGTACTGCTTAAAAAAAATTATTAAAGTGACAAAATAAATATGGAAATTCTATCTCAAAACAAACTACCATCCACAAAATTTGTATATTCCAACATAATGAATACAGAAGATGCGCCATAAAGACTAACAGCACAGAAATAATGGTTATTTTTAACAAAAACATTCAAGAATATCAGCAAAATGTTTGGTTCACACAATAATACCTTTTTTTTTTGATGACAAACAAGAAAACAGAGAACTAATATAGCCGGTACATAGACACGCAGACAATAATAATAAATGTACTCCAACACACTCTAACATAGCTAAAAAATGGGAGTGGCTTATAATTTTGCCTATAATTAACTTAATTTTTCAAGTATTACAAAAAACGGTACAGCAGAAAATGACATTAACCATAATTATATATCAATGAGTTTCGGTAATTTGGCTAACAAAACTATCTAGGCTTGCAAAATAAGAAAAATTAAATAAATTAGTTCCAGAAATAGTTCTGGATTCAAAAAGCAAAAAAAAACATCTAACTAAAAACAGGGTATTGGGGTTAACAAAGTTAAGTATAAGTGGGGAATCTTAAAAAAATATTTCTCTCTTATGTGGCTATAAATCTCATTGATTTCAAAGTAAGACCAATCAAGAGAATATTCCAAAATTACAGAATTCAAAAAAAAAATATTGACTCAAAGAGTGATACAACTCATTATAAAGAGACAATACTTTTGGATACTGTAAAATACTTTTTAAAAATTCTTGTGGAAAAGAAATTGAAAAAATTGCTAATAAAGGCTTAAACATTTGCCTTGTTACAGCCGATAAGAAATAATAAAAAAATAAAGTTTAATAAAATTTATTGCTTAATTAAACGATACTTTAAATAGAACAACTAACAAAAAACTTTTTAGCAAGATAATTATAGAATATTTGAATACTATTAGAAAAACGGAGGTCTTGAGTATAAAAAGCCTAACCGCTAAAATATGCTGGATTCCAGCAGCTTTTAATTTTCTTAGAGCAAGCAATATTGACAGAATAGATGACGCGTGTACAGAGGTTTTAGAGCACTCTTTAAAATTAATAATAGTGGTCCCAAAAAAAAGATGAAGTCCTATCGAAAGGATAGTGGGAAAAAAGAGACACAGCTGTGTGAAATTATGCCTAGTACATACCTATATAACCTAAAAGATCAATATTACAAGAGAGCTATCTCTAAGTCGACATATAAACAGCAAAGTTTTTTATTATTAATTATTTCTTCAGAAATATTAGATATCACAGCAAACAACTGTCGGTAGGCAGTATTTATAGAATAATAAAATCAATCACAATTATAGGTATGAATACCAATAACACATAAATACCAAAAGCAAGCAATATTGAAGCTAAATTAGATACAATACAGATGTATTGACAAATAAAATTGTAAAGCAAGCTAATCGGTCTACTAATACATGTCTGCTATCTAATATATATTAACAAACGACTCTCCTCAAATATTATGGAATAAGTTATCTTTGAATTCAATTAATATTTCTCAAAGAAAAAA